TCATACTAAAGATATCGAATTGACGATGTATTCATTGTTGTTCTTTTTCTTTTTGCCAAAAAGACAAAAAAAGTTGTTCTGAAGAAATCAAAAAAAAATCATCGGTGAATGAGAAAAATATTTATAATGCATCAATATTCAAGTGATTGTTTAGATGAAGAGCAAATATAAGTTAGAAAGAAAAAGCATGAAAAAAATGATGTCATTGGTTTTTTTTTATTTCATTTTTTTGTTGACAATCATATTTTCAGTAGAAACTGAGTGGAATTTGGTATTGAGTGTCAACGAAAAAAAAACTCATATTTGATGTCATAGAAACATCTAAAAAAAACAGTGGGTATCGACTGTATAAACAAAAAGCAATTATTCATCATTTTAAACTAAAAACAACATTTCATATATAATCCAAGTGAACAACGATCCAAAGAACAGGTATACATATTAACCATGTGCGCCGCTGCAACAGCAAGATCCTTAACTGTTGCCAGCCGACCAAAACAAGGTCGACTCCAAAATTATTTACTAATCTGGGTCGATGGTAACATCGACGAGAACAACAAAGATTGCGCAAATACGCTGGTGGAATTGCGCAGCATCGTCAGAGAAGTCAATCTCTGTGCGACTCCAGCGCAATGTATTCAATTTCTCAATGATATGGATAACGAAAAAGCGTTTATTATCTCATCTGGAGCTTTAGGGCAGCACCTCGTACCACAGATTCATGATTTGTCACAAGTGGACGCAATTTATATCTTTTGTGGTAATAAAACAAAACATGAAGCATGGGCAAAAGAATGGGCAAAGATTGAAGGTGTTTTCACCTCAATCAAGCCCATATGTGAATCGTTAAAGAAGGTCACCCGTGAATGTGACCACGATACAATTCCCATGAGCTTCGTTCCGAAGCAAACGACGGCAGCTACATCAAGTCAAGAAAATCTAGACCAATTAGAACCATCATTTATGTACTCGGTGTTATTCAAAGAGATTATATTGGAAATCAATGAAGAGGACGCGAAGCCGTTGAACGATCTAGTCGTCTACTGTCGTAGCAAAGGTATTTCGGAGAAACAATTAAAGGACTTTCAGAGTACATACCACCAGAAAACACCAGTCTGGTGGTATACATGCGAAATGTTTCTATACGGCATGCTGAATTGTGCCCTACGAACACTGGACATGGAAGCCATGACAAAAATGGGCTTTTTCATTCGAAACCTTCATAAACAGCTGGAACAACTGCACAAAGAACAAGCAAAGACTTTTACGAAAAAATTGATTGTTTATCGTGGTCAAGGGCTCATTGAACAAGATTTTCGGCATCTAATGGACACGAAAGGTGGGCTGCTCTCATTTAACAATTTTTTGTCAACTAGTACAAAACAAAAGATCGCTATGGCATTTGTGGAACGTACAATGCAGAAAAATAAAGATATCGTGGGTGTTCTTTTCATCATGACAATTGATTCAAATACAATATCGGCGGCAACTACTCCATTTGCACTTATCGACGAATACAGTGCTATTGAAACTGAAAAGGAAATCCTCTTTTCAATGCATACTGTTTTTCGTGTCGACGAAATCAAACAATCAATTAGCAATAGCCGTCTATGGGAAGTTCAATTGAGTCTCACCGGCGACAATGATTTACAATTGGCTGCTCTTACTAATCACATACGAGAGGAAACTCAAGGATCCACCGGATGGCATCGAATGGGTCAACTGATGCTCAAAGTGGGTCACTTCAATCAAGCTGAAGAACTCTACAATGGATTACTCAAGAATGCTTCCAGTGACAGTGATAGAGCATTTATTTATCACCAGCTTGGATCCTTAAAAGACAATAAAGGACGATACCAAGAAGCAGTTGCGTTTTATGAAAAATCACTGAAGATCAAGAGAAAAAGTCTTCCGGAAGATCATTCTTCTTTGGCCCCTACCTACACTGGAATTGGTCTTGCGTATAACAACATGGGTGACTACTCGAAAGCACTTGAATTTTACGAAAAAGCAAATAAAATAAAAGAAAAAGCTCTGCCTTCGAATCATCCCTCATTGGCTACTTCTTACAGCAACATCGGTGGAGTATATGATGACATGGGTGACTACTCGAAAGCACTTGAATTTTACGAAAAAGCACTTAAAATTAAAGAAAAAGCTCTGCCTCCGAATCATCCCTCATTGGCTACTTCCTACAACAACATTGGTGGAGTGTATGAGAACATGGGTGACTACTCGAAAGCACTTGAATTTTACGAAAAAGATCTCGAAATCACAAAAAAAGCTCTGCCTCCAAATCATCCCGATTTGGCTACTTCTTACAACAACATCGGTCTACACTCTAAAAAAAATCAGTTTATTACTGAACTTTAAAAGTTCTGCTTATTTATACCGAACGATTTTAGGTTCGGTGAAATGAAAATCGTTTCGAGATTTTTGTTCAGAACTTTTTTAAGTTCTGCAGATTTCACAGGGTTTCGGAAGTCTTCAACGAAATCCTATGTGGGTTTCGTAAATTTTATACGAAACGATTGATAGTTTCATAGATCATCTAAAGGTTTAGTATATTTTATACTGAACAGTCGATAGTTTCGTACATTATCTAAAGGTTTAGTATATTTTATACTGAACGGTTGATAGTTTCGTAGGTCATCTAAAGGTTTAGTATATTTTATACTGAACGGTCGATAGTTTCGTAGGTCATCTAAAGGTTTAGTATATTTTATACTGAACGGTCGATAGTTTCGTAGATCATCTAAAGGTTTAGTATATTTTATACGGAAGGGTTGATAGTTTCGTAGGTCATCTGAAGGTTTAGTATATTTTATACTGAACGATCGATAGATTCGCAGGGCATCAGAAGGTTTCGTCTATTTCACACAGAACGGTCAGTAGTTTCGTAGGGCATCAGAAGGTTCCGTATATTTCACACGATACGGTTGGTTGTTTTGTAGACTAATCTAAGGTTTCGCAATTTTAGTATGAGACCCTCTATGGTTACTTTAAGTGCTAATAGGTTCCGTATGCTTCGTGCGAAATCACACTCTAAAAAAATAGGTTTATTACCAAACTCTAAAAGTTTCGTATTTTTGCTTTGAATGATTTTAGATTAAGTAAAATCAAAATCATTTTGTACTTTTCGTACGGAACTTTTTTAAGTTCAGCAGAATTCATAGGGTCTCGCAATTTTTGCGCGAAACCTTCTGCGGATTCCGTAGATCCGTTCGTGGTTTCTCACATCATGAACCTAACCTTTGATGGTTTCGTACATTAGCAGCTAAACCATTCATGTCTTTGCAGAGTTGCGGAAGGTTCCGTCTTTTCTCTGCGAAACCATCAATAGTTCGGTGCAGTATTGAAGGGTTTTACATTATTTATACAGAACTATTCATCACTATATTAGATATTTAATAGTTTCGTATATTTTACACGAACCTGCTGATAGTTTCGTAGTCTGTTATAGGGTTTCGCAGTTTCCCTGTAAAACCTTGCATGATTTCATTAAGTGCTAATGGTTTTCGTGTACTTCGTACGAACCCATGTATATTCCTGTACACTTATAAGCGTTTAATTTTTTTTTCCCTAACCGTGAATGGTCCAGCGTTAGTTCCAGTGCTTAACCTACGTGAAAATTCTTATATTTCCAGTAGTAGAATGTAAAACCGTCAGGACTTATTACCGAAAATCGAAATAGTGAGAAAGGGATCAGGAACAAATGTATATACATCCTTCTCCGAAACAAATCAGAGTGGAAAAATTTAAAATGTCAGGCAATTAGAATAAAGATAGGAAAAGGAAGAAGTTTACTTAGCATATCGAGAAAATAATTAATATAGTATCGAGACCAGAAATGTAATAATATCAATACAGTATTGGTAGTATTGATATTTATTCGACACTGGATCAAAATTAAACGAGGCCAGTTATCGTTACGTTACCCAGTATCATGGAAAAATTGTGAGTTTCACATTTCCATTAAG